AAGTGAAATTTTAATATCATATAAGTGTTTTCTGATTTTACGGGTAAGCTAACCATGAGGTGACATTGCAGACTGTAGCAAATTAGCTCAAAAGGGAAATAACTGTAGCAGAATCAATATTACAATTATTTGATCTGTCCGTCCACTGAGCAGACAATATAATCATTTGTCAATTCTAGAAAGAGAGAGAGAAGAGCAAAAGAATGGCAGTATTTCACATCAATTAACCACAACCTAATGAGAATCATCAAAGAATCAAAAATAACCTTAAAAGGGGGCTTAAACTTAAACACGCATCTAAATAGTTGTAAACGGTTACTTGCATTGACTTTGTTGCTGAACAAGAGTCCTGATGCGTTAAGACAATGGAGGTTCTTGATGAATTCTTTCAGGAGTGAGCTGGAGGTTTTCCTCTGGTTCTTCTGAAGATAGGAAAGTCCACAGCGAATTGACAAAGTTACGTGAAGCTAAAAACTGCCGGAAAATCAAACTCAAGAGGAGAGTTTTGAAGAGTCTTGGAGAGTGTCCGTCTCAAGAAGGGTTTTGAGCCACGATTAGTCCGAGTTAATGACTTTTAATAGTTCCTAGTCACGCCCACCTTTTGGGTGGAATGGCCAATACCAGGTGTGAATTTTTGAGCGGGAGAAGTTTTCTTTGTCTCCATTTATGGCCCATTTGCATGTAATGAGTGGTAACTAGGCTAATATAATAGGGAAACATACAAACAACACATGCATATACCAGATACATTTGTAACTGATTAATTATAGTCTAAATAAAGAAATATCTTTATGTGTGTGTGTGTTATGTGTATTGTGAGCATGGGGGTAGTTCTCTGGCCATCAAACATTTGGTGCCAGGTACTGAGGTCTCCCAGGACATTGGAATGTGTTTGAAGTCCGATGGGGAGACAAGAGTGGTGAAACTGTTTAGCATCTCCTTGATAGTGGGGGGAACCATTGGCAATTTAGCACCCATATAAATGTAGAATGTGGGGCCATGTCTGCAATTTATATGCAAATGTCAAAAGGCTAAAAGGGTCTCTAAAACATAAAGCCCAAACGATCATCAATGATCCTAAGCAGATGCTACAAGATTGCGTTTTTCAAGTGTTGATATCGCTGTGTTAGTTCAATGTAGTTAAACTGTACAAATAAATAACCGCGCCGGTGCTCCCGCGGATGGTTCGCTCGCACGCAGGTACTGAAAGTGTGGATAGTCAAACACTCAACTTACAGTGGGCTTTATCATGATATCAAAAATCATTACTGATTGCTTATTAATATGATAATGTTCTGTAACAGAGCTTTCGGTCATTGATTTAATGATTATTTTAAAACTGTTAAATTAGATAAAATATAAATATTCAGGTGCCTTTATTGAGCTTGAATTTATCTAATATTTTTGTTGTATAGATGTGATGCTTAGTTATAATTTGGTGGAATACTTGATTGTTTTTTCTGAATTGTTTAATGTGAGTTTACTTGTATAAGCTAATTTGGTCCCACTTTATATTAAGTGGCCTTAACTACTATGTACTTACATTTAAATTAATCATTTGGTACAATGCACTTATTGTGTACATACATGTTTTTACATTGTACTTGCATGTAATTACATCTGTAATTAATTTCTGTAATTACATTTATATTTACACCGTTGATCCATCCCTTACACCTTAACCCACCCTTAAACCTACCCATACGACCAAACCTGTCCCTAACCTTACCCGTATCCCACCTCAATAGCAGCAAAAGTGTTTTGCAATACAATATGAACACAATTAGTACATTGTACTTATTTTTTGATGCAAGTACATAGTAGTTAAGGCCACTTAATATAAAGTGGGACTGCTAATTTTTTTGTGTGTGAAGTAATGTACTTTACTCAGTAAAGATTAATATTTTTGTTTCAAGTTTCAAGTTGTTTATGATATAGTGCAAAAACAATAAAATAAATTTCCCCAGAAAAATGCCAACTTTTTCTGTGTGTGCAATAATAATAAATAAATGATTAGTGTGTCCACTTTACATTAAGGTTCACTTTTACAGGTTACTAATGTTTATAACTCATTAATAAATGGTTCACAGGTGTTCACTTTACATTAAGGTTAACTTTCACAGGTTATTAACGTTTATAACTCATTAATAAATGGTTCAAAGCTGTACACTTTATATTAAGGTTCACTTTTACAGGTTACTAATGTTTGTAACTCATTAAATGGTTCACAGGTGTTCACTTTACGTTAAGGTTCACTTTTACAAGTTACTAATGTTTGTAACTCATTAATAAATGGTTCACCGGTGTTCACTTTACATTAATGTTCACTTTCACAGGTTATTAACGTTTATAGCTCATTAATAAATGGTTCACATCTGTTCACTTTACATTAAGGTTCATAAGTTATGAGATAAAAATGAGAAAAATATAAATAACACTCTTCAGACTCGCTATAAAAGTCTATTTTTGCTGCATCATGAAATAAATCAGGAATCTGGTTTTGAGTGAAATAATTATTAATACTAGTGCTGACAATCGATTAAAAAAAATAACTAATTAATCGCAAATTTTTCTGAAATTAATCGCAATTAATCCCACCTAACATTAAAGTTTTTAAATATACTTGTATATTGCAATAATTTCACATTCAATCTTCAAATTAATGTACAATTTAATATTTGTTTAATGGCATCTTTTTTTATGACTGAAGGCCAGTATCAATACTGATTTCTCTATAAAATTGACCCATTCAACATTACAGTATAATTGAGAGCTATCAATTTTAACATTTATTAGACTTTAAAAAATAACTTCTAATTTAGTGAACTTAAAAAAATCTTCACATAAACCCATTATAATAAATGTCATATTTACCTTTGGCCTTCAGCAGAAATATACAGAAATTGAAATTGAAGTTATCAAACACTAAATTCTAAATTAAATATAGATGAATCCTTAAAGCTATAAAAGTTCTTTTTTTTTTTCTTTGTTCTTTGATTAATAGACATCACAGCAGGTTATTAAGTTGTTTTGGCTGTTATTTCTTTAACAGCTGCCACTGCTAAACGTGACGCGGATCTGACACGCATCATATTTTCTGTCAACACTTTTTTAACTTTTCTGACCCACTTCAGGTCTTAAAGGGGTCATATGATGCTGCTAAAAAGAACATTATTTTGTGTATTTGGTGTAATGAAATGTGTTTATGCGGTTTAAAGTTAAAAAAACACATTATTTTCCACATACTGTACATTATTGTTTCTCCTCTATGCCCCGCCTTTTTGAAACGCGTCGATTTTTACAAAACTTTTAAAACCTGAAAGTGCACCGTGTATAAAGTTATTGTCTCTCAAAAGAAAGAGTCGACTCTGAATCATTGAAACGAGTCGTTTTTAAAACGAATCCCAAGCCGTTTCATGTTGATGTCAACATGAAACATTAGCATATTGCCCGCCCACTTGTTGGTCTTTTCACGTTGGTTTGAATGAAAATGCATATTCATTCTTTGCCACTAGGTGCCACTTTTTGAGCGGTAAAAATAGCGGTCTCCCTGGTAAGGCTGTACACAAAGCAGCACTGCTCACACAGCTTTATCAGGCATTACAGGCATGATGAAATGAAAATTAGACCAGTCACCACAGATTAGCGTCACGCAAAGGAGGGGTTTGGAGAAATGAATCGTTAAACGAATCGTTTGGGTGTCGTTGAGCAAATAAGGTAAAAATAAATATTATCAGACAATAAAAGTGTTTTTTGACCTTGCATGCATGTCAACCTGTTGTTGGGGACTCCCAAAACCAAAATATTAATATTTCATTACCCATAATAGGGGCACTTTAACTGACCACGGCATTGCATGTACGTAGTTTATTAAGCGCTTTGATATGAAAGGATACAGCCTACAGTGCGCGCCGGTGCCTTTGTGCGTGCAATTGAAGAGCTCGCGCTGCAAGCACAGTACCATTTCCGCGCTCGCTTGACTCGCGCCTGGCGCTGAAGTGAAGTGGAGCGCGCATCTGAAATGTCTCACGTTCTCAGTCATTCTGTGACTGAATAAATGCACTTCTTGTCAAGAGAAAAAGTGACAGAAGCAGCAGTTGTGAGTGGGGTGGCCAACCCTAGCCTCGCCCCTGCGTTAATTGCATTAAATATTTTTAACGTGTTAAACTGAAAAAATGAATCGCCTGCGTTAACGCTAATTTTGACACCACTAATTAATACATATATTTATTAAGCATTTATAACGTGTTTCAAAAATGGCTCACTATTTGTCAGGTATTGCATTAAAATCACCCTTTTTATTCATGCATTTATAACTGCTTATCAATGATTTATAATGCATTTGTAAATTAGTTATTAGTCATTTATGAACACCTTTATAAACAATTTATAAAGGGAACCTTAATGTAAAGTGTTACCCTATTTTCTTTAACCTTCATGAACCACTATATGTTATCATATTAGGTGTGTTTGATTGGGATCGGAGCTGAAATCTGCAGGACAGTTGCTCAGGGTTTGAGACCCCTGCAGTAAACTGTTAAGAACCTGGTATGCTGTCTGTAACGGGACTTGTGGTATCGCACCTCCAGAGACGCATAATCTTTATGCACAAGAATGCTATTGTCTTCTTTCATCTCAGCCTATCACTTTCAGTTCATTTAATTTCAGTTAAAATTAATTTAATTAATTTGTAAATAATAACCATTAAATAAAAACTGTGTTTGCAGTTAAACAATACTAAGTGTTCTGGCTGTAGCTGTATGCAAAACATCAACATGCAAATCGGACTCTGACTGTACAATAAATATTAAATAAATAGTCTAATTGAAAGTTAGCCATGGTACCCAGCATATGGCATAACAGTTCAAACGTGTGTGTGTATTTGTTTTTACGTACCTGCTGACAACGTTTCTGCCTGTGAAAGATGGTCCTTTATGCACAAAGCAGAGACAATGTTTGTATGTTTCTGCTATTTTCTGATTCTCATCCTGCAAGCCAAGCCACTGGTTGACGCCGTTTCTGAATGTATCCACCGTGAGGTGTAAAATCCTTTGTTTTTTCTTTATGGATGTGAGATGCTTATAGCGTTGTTTATGATACATTTTACATAGTTTTGAAGGAGGTCTGGCCGTAAGTTCCTCTTCTTCACTACTCGGTAGTGACGACAAGGGCACAGACATCTTGAAGTTATGTTTACATGTCGTTCCGAAAAGTGGCCACCTTATCGGTCTAGCGGAAAGCAGGTGACACGAAGCCTCATCACTCATGATCAAAATACGATTACGTGAGGAAAGAACTATTGCAGACCTTAAACTCTAATAAAAAAATAAACTGCAGGATTACACATGGAGAACTTTTATTTTCTCGGGTAGGCGTGGTTGACTCTTAACTTTTATAAAGAATATCTCTTTGGATTTGAGACTTTAGTCTTTGCAACTTTACAGATTTTCTTTATGCACCAAGAGCTTGTAACACTTCAAAGAGAAAGGAAAAATTTAAATCGCATCATATGACCCCTTTAAATTTTATTTTAATCAAAATGACTTGAATGTTTTTTTTTGTTGTCATAATTCCAGCTTCTTTATTTAAACTGGCTATTACTTTTCTGTTTTGGCTGTGTCTGTTTTTCCAGTATTGTCTTATTAAAGTAAAAATAGAGCAAAATAGTTATGAGCAGTGTCCAAGCCTGCTGCTTTTTTTCTCTCTCTCCCTTCTGCACACGACCACCCTCCTTTCTGTTTCTCCCTGTAAAGAACGGCTTGCTGCGATGTGCAGAGTTTGTAAGTGAACTTGTTTGTCGTTAGCTTAACGACTGTGCTGTGTCAGTGGATTGTGATTGTTAGCATTATCATCATGCTAACAAAGCTCTGTTAATTCTGCCTGCTCAAACATGCTTGGCTTGTGTATCACCCTCTAACTCTGCATTTAGTATGTGCAGGCTGATATAATACAGCTGATGTGAGACGATGATAAGCCTACATGAAAATGACAAGCTTTTGAAAACCTGTTTCCTATTAAAAACCCTTTCCAAAATTTCCAAATTTTTTCCCAAAGTAATTTGTAAACTGATTATATACACTATGGACAAATGTATTGGGACACCTGATCATTACACGAGCAGGGACTTAAATTACATTGCATTCTAATTTAATATGGAGTTGATCCTCCCTCTTTCCATGCATCTAGGAAGACCCTTCACAAGATTTTGAAGTTTGGAACTGGGAATTTTTGCCCATTCATCCAGTAGAGTTTTTGTGAGGTCAGGCACTGATATTGGACGAGAAGGCCTGGCTTGTAGTCTCCATTCCAGTTCATTTCTAAGGTGTTCTATGGGGTTAAAGTCAGGGCTTTGTGCAGGTCAGTCAAGGTTTTTCACACCAAACTCATCCAACCATGTCTTTTTGGACCTTGCTTTGTGCACTGGGGCACAGTCATGCTGGAATAGAAAAGAGCCTTCCCCAAACTGTTCCCACAAAGTTCACACTAAAAAAATAATGTGTGGAAAAATATCAAATAAAATTAATGCAACTATTTGCATCAATCTTTTAAAATTATGACAACTTCTAATGAAATTATGTTCAATCAACAAACTACATTGTGTTAGAGGAACTTAATAATTTGTAGGATAAACACAAACACAGTTTTTGTGCTAATATTAATGCCAGGGGAAGTTTGGAACTCTTAAGCCATGAAATTAGGCTTTTATGCACCACGCGCCTCAGATGTCTGTGGCCCTGCTCTGTGACTTTATGTGGTCTTCTTTATGGCTGAGCTGGTGCTTTTCTTAAATGGTTCCACCTTCCAATAAAACCACTTACAGTTCACCATGGAATTTGTAGCAGGGATGAAATTTCATGAACTGACTTATCACATTACCACGCTTGAATTCACTGAGCTCTTCAGAATGACCCTTTTTTGTTTGTTTGTTTGTTTGTTTGTAAAAAACAAAACTGGATGACTGGATAAACTGGATGGCTAGGTGCTTGATTTTATACACCTGCAGCAATGGGTCTGATTGAAACACCTGAATTCAATGATTAAGAGGTGTGTCCCAAAACTTTTGTCCATATAGGCTGTGTCCAAAAGCTTAGGCAGCTGACTTGATGCCTCACTGCCCTATCAGGCAATGACTTTGCAGGTAGCATTTGTGCAGGAAGGTACCTCAAGAAACTGATTTCTGGCAGACGTCTGAAGCAGCATAACCATTTAAAAATCTACAACAAAAAGAGAGAACTTTGGTGATAATTAAGTGAATATTCAACTACTATAATACTAATTTCTTGCTAGAAATTACATAAAAAATTGAAGAAAAAAAACACACAAATTGGCCATCAACCGTAACTGTTACAGAATGGAACACACAGGTTTGTGGGATATCAAAGGCAGCGAAGAATAGGCCAACATCTAATCTAATCTGCCTTCAAAAATCGATCAGATGAAAGTATCTCAGTTGACACGGATCATTGATCACGATCATTGTATTCGGACATGCCTTGCAGAGACAGAATTGTTCAGCTTTCGGACGTAGCCATACTCTGTGTGTGTGTGTGTGTGTGTGTGTGTGTGTGTGTGTGTGTCTTTTGAAACTCCAGTATGTTCTTGGCTGTGTAGGTTCAGTATTTATCGCATTGTCTAGTATCATGGTAAAATTTCCTTTTACTTGGTTTTATAAAATGCCTGTTCACACCAAGTCTGACCTTTTGTCATTTCTATCTGTCTTTACTGAGTGTAGGTTGATTTTACATGGAACTTTTACATGGCACTGCAACAATCAAGGAAAAGATGTGATATGGAAAGGAATTTTAATCTACTCTCCTTATATCATGTCTGTTGCATATCTGTGTTAATATTAGTATGAACCATTTATGTATAATAGTAGTATTTGACCACTTATTACCAAAAATCCTTGGTATTCCTATATTTCAGTGCTTTTTAGTCACACTACTTTTTACTATTTCCATAGTTCCACTGCAGAAGAGTGACAGCATTTCCGTTTTAGGGATGGGTTGTAATTTGCATTAAAGGTCCCATGGCATGAAAATTTCACTTTATGAGGTTTTTTAACATTAATATAAGTTCCCCTAGCCTGCCTATGGTCCCCCAGTGGCTAGAAATGGCGATAGGTGTAAACCGAGCCCTGGGTATCCTGCTTTGCCTTTGAGAAAATGAAAGCTCAGATGGCCCAATCTGGAATCTTCCCTTTATGTCGTCATACGGGGAAAGGTTACCTCCCCTTTCTCTGCTTTGCCCGCCCAGAGAATTTGGCCCGCCCATGAGAAAATGAGCTACTACCGTGCTAGGCGAGCGCAATATTTTTTTTTCCTCGAGAGACATCATGGCTTGCAAACGAGCGAAGCATGGCAGTTGCCCCGCCTCTCTCCTCCTCATTAGCCTTTAAAACTACAGACACAGAAATGGCACGTCCTAAGGCAAGCTCATTGTGGGACTGGCTCGTAGTGGCTGAAATTCTGCACCAAGGCTGAATTTCGGGAAAGAGACTTCAGATACAGTACTAGGGACCACTTAGGCCTATATAAAAGCATCCAAAAAGCAGCATGTCATGGGACCTTTAAAGCATGTGAATGACTGGAGTGCATTTTGATTCAGGCATGCAAATTTGTATTTATTTATTTATTTCAGAAAATTACTAAGATTTACATTGTAACTGGGTCAGTTTTTTGGCAAACTTTTTTTGTTACTGCATCAGACTTGGTGTGAAAAGCCTTAATATGGTGGTTATGTGAGCTTTATGTTGGCAGTTTGAATAATGTATTCTGAAGCCATGAAGAACAGGAACATTGAATACTAATAAAATGCTCAGGCTAGATGCTTGTCAAATGTTTTTTGCAAATGACAGGCTACCTTAATTGATTGTGTAAGCACGGTATGATAATTTACTTTTTGCCAACCAGCCAATGAATGCCCAAGATAAGGAAATGTGTTTCAAGTGTGTGTTTTTTGTATAAGCAACAGCATTTAATGTAAACAATTTTAAGAAGTCTTATGGCTGGTAAATGAGAAGAAAAAAAAATCATTGTCTGCCTGTAAGGTTTACATAATGTTTTATGAGGATTCTAAACTCGCTTGGGCTTTGATAACTTGAATATTTGCTCTAATTACCTATTTATTCTAACTGCATGCCCTGCTTAAGCTATGGGTATTTAACTGTATATGAACACCGAAAAAAACAATATGCATGAGCGAGTGTAGCTTACAGGTTTTTATTAAATTATAGTATCAAGACCAGTGGTTCCCAACCATGTTCCTGGAGGCCCCCCAACACTGCACATTTTGCATCTCTCCTTTGTCTGACACAACCATTTCAGGTCTTGGAGTCTGTACTAATGAGCTGATGATCTGAATCAGGTGTGTTTGATTAAGGAGACATGGAAATAATGCAATGTTGGGGGGCCTCCATGAGCATGGTTGGGAACCACTGATCTACACATTTTCCTTAAACCTTTTTTTCTTACAGAATTTTATTTACAGTCTTCAGGCTTATTAATTTCTCACATGCTATTCTATTCTGTTCTAATCTCAGGGGCTCAATGACCAGTCTGGAATCCAGTCACAGTGGTTTCTCTCAGCTCAGCGCCGCCACCACATCCTCCAGCCAGTCACAGTCCAGCTCTATGATCTCCAGGTAGAATAGAAAGAGATTTAGGCTCTAAAATGTTTTATCAGTTCAGTTTCTAGATTCTCAATAAACCATTACTATTCTTCCTCTGTTATCTATCCCAACACTGTATCACTCCATGTCAAGGACCTGATGCGTGTTCACACAACTAAAAAGAGTATAAAAGATATCCTTACCTAAAAGGATTTTAGTGGTGGTAGTTTTTTTTTGTTTTTTTTGTTAAAGGGCTTGAATCTGCTTTGCCATAGCGCTCAGCTGAGTCGCTGGTCAGTTCATAGGCCGATTGTGCTTTGTGTGAGTGTCCGAAGGAGCTCACACTTTACCGTGCATTTCTACATTTCCCATGGACTGCATGCTGAACTAAGCAAT